CCCGCTTCTTTTTGCATCGCTGACAACTTTTCCACAGGCTCTTCCTTCTCCTTCTGAAGGAGAAATGAAACACTGAGATCCTTTTGAAAGCGGGATTGAAGAATTTCAAAGTACAATGAAGTTGTTGTTATGCAAATGACGAGCCGCTTTCTTTCCTGCGGCCAGGGAATATTAATCCCTATCCCTGAGCATTGCAGCCCTTTCAAAATTCCCAAACCACATTTGGATGAGGGCAATTCTGGGCTACCACGGCCTCGTGTGCCTCTTGCAGTGACACACCTGCTGCGAGAGGGAATTGTTAAGGAATGATTGCTGTCCTAGATTAAAAAAAAGAACAGTTATATCTGGATAAGGAGGTTCTGTAGATGGAATAAGCTGAAAACTTCACAGGTTCTCGGTTTAATTCATTAATTCCTTTAGATGGCAATTCTTGCATCATTCAGAGGTGGAGGAAGGAGCAAAAAGGGAAGAAAAGACAATTCCCTGCTGGAAGGGGATGGGGTGGCCCAGTAACAATTCCCTCCCTCTGGAATTGCTCAGGCCTGGGTTTTTTCTCTCTTCCAGGACTCCCATCACACAGACCATGGGTTCCCACCAGCAGAAGGGCGACGGCCAAGGGATGTCTGAGCAGTCCGGAGGGTGCCACAGCGGCGGCGGCGGTGGCTGCGGTTGCTGCTGCCACAGAGGAGGCGGCTGCCACAGCAGCGGTGGAGGAGGATCCATGGGACAGCAGAGCCAGGGATCGTCCTGCCACGGAGGAGGAGGAGGAGGCGGCTGCTGCGGCGGTGGTGGCGGCGGTGGCAGCGGTGGTGGGATAATTTATCAGACTCACGGGTCATCATCCTCCTGTGGAGGAGGAGGAGGAGGAGGAGGCGGAGGAGGCGGACAGCAGAGCCAAGGATCCATCTGCATTATTGGAGGAGGAGGAGGAGGTGGTGGCTCAGGGCAACAAAGCCAAGGTCCCATCATTATTGGAGGGGGTGGAGGAGGCGGAGGAGGAGGTTCTGACCACCAGAGCCATATGCCCATCTGCATAGGTGGAGGAAGCGGAGGTGGTGGTGGAGGTTCAGGCCAGGAGGGCAAAGGAATCATCATCATTGGCGGAGGCAGCGGTGGAGGAGGAGGAGGAGGAGGAGGAGGAGGAGGTGGCTCAGGCCACCAGGGCCAAGGTCCCATCTGCATTGGAGGTGGCAGTGGAGGAGGAGGAGGAGGTGGTGGTCAACAAAGCCAAGGTCCCATCATTATTGGTGGTGGTGGTGGTGGTGGCTCAGGGCAGCAGAGCCAAGGTCCCATCTGTATTGGTGGGGGTGGCAAGGGAGGAGGAGGAGGTGGTGGAGGTGGTGGCTCGGGGCATCAGGGCCAAGGTCCCATCATTATTAGTGGAGGAGGTGGTGGTGGTGGTGGTGGTGGAGGAGGTTCAGGGCACCAGGGCCAAGGTCCCATCTGCATTGGAGGTGGCAGTGGTGGTGGAGGAGGAGGGGGTGGTCAACAAAGCCAAGGTCCCATCATTATTGGTGGTGGTGGTGGTGGTGGTGGTGGCTCCGGGCAGAGCCAAGGTCCCATCTGTATTGGTGGGGGTGGCAAGGGAGGAGGAGGAGGTGGTGGAGGTGGTGGCTCGGGGCATCAGGGCCAAGGTCCCATCATTATTAGTGGAGGAGGTGGTGGTGGTGGTGGCTCAGGTCACCAGGGTCAAGGTCCCATCATCATTGGTGGTGGAGGAGGAGGAGGAGGAGGAGGAGGTTCAGGGCACCAGAGTCAAGGCCCCATCTGCATTGGAGGTGGCAGTGGAGGAGGAGGTGGTGGAGGTGGTGGCTCAGGTCACCAGAGCCAAGGTCCCATCATTATTGGTGGTGGTGGAGGAGGAGGAGGAGGTGGCGGTGGTGGCTCAGGTCACCAGGGTCAAGGTCCCATCTGCATTGGAGGTGGCAGTGGAGGAGGAGGAGGAGGTTCAGGCCACCAGGGCCAAGGTCCCGTCGTCATCATCAGTGGTGGAGGCGGAGGCGGAGGCGGAGGTGGAGGTGGAGGTGGTTCCTCCAGCTCTGGAGGAATGTCCATGCAGCAGCAGACCCAGCCCATCTGCTGGCCACCGCAGACCAAGCGCAAGTAGTGGCTGCCAGAAGGACTCTGACACCAAGGAAACCCAAGATATGAAGACGCCTCACATTTCCTCCTCTGTTAAACTGAAGATTATTTGCGTTGTTCTCTTCTCCCTTCCCCTGGGAATGTTCTAACCGGAACCTCTGGTCCTGTGTATCCCTAATTCCAGCCAGGGTCGTTCCGTGTGCCTGTTCCTGCCTCAGTTTTCAGGTGCTTGCACCAGACAATAAAACTTGCAGTTCTAGAGAGTTCTGTGTGTGAGTGGTTGGATTTTCCAGCTCTGGTTGCTTCATTTCCATCCCTGCTTTGATTCCAGTGCTGTTGCAATAAAGCTCCAGAGCAAAACTGCACTGAAACCCCAGTGGGTAGAAGAGATTTTGGATTCACTAAATATTCTCAGGTCATTAATGTCTCATGATGATGATGATGATGATGATGATCCCAACTTTTGCCCATCAGAGAAGGTACCACAAAGTTGATCATTGAGGTCTCTCTCCCTCACCAAAATTCTGGTGATGCCCAAGAACGTTCTGAGTGGGTTCAGAGAGAGAAGATGACCAAATTCTGCTAGGAAGGATTTCAGGGTGCAATCACAGGGGTGAGAGAAGCTTCACGAGGCACTGCAGAAGCTCCTGGTGCTCTCACAAGTGGAAGAGAAATGAGGGAGTTTGTCCAACGCTTTTCCAGCTCTGAATTCCCAGTGGAATCAGGGCCAAGCCCAGGACTTCAGCCCCTTCCAAGGGCTGGGATGCTCAGGCTGGAAAACCTGGGGATTTCCTCATTCCCGCAGGCCTAAAACACAGCTCCAGGTGTGAGTCTTCAGAGGGAGTTTCCCTGTGGGAGGCGATCTCTTTGATGTGGTCTACTCTGGTAATTAGCAGGGAAAGGGAATTAGACCTCGGAACTGTTCTACGGGAGAGAGGTGACGGACACCTGGAATTGTCCCAGGAGAAACTGGAGTGACCCACGGCTACAACGGCTTCTCCTGTCCCTCCACCCTCTGCCCTCTCCCCCTTGGGGAGCTCAGTGAGGCAAACACCTCAAAACACATCCGGATGAGCCCCTCCAGCCAGTGTTGCCCCTGGAATAGCTGAATTTCCTGGGATTTAATTATGGGAAGTCATCGAGGGTGCCAAAATTCCAGTGGCTGGGAACTGCACAAATACTGGCACAGAGCAAAGCCAGAGATTGGGGTCCCACTTCAGCGGGGTGGGAACGGTGCTGTCAGAAATCCCTGCTCCCAAAAATGACCCAGGACCAGGAAAATCAGGATCTAAATTACAGAAATTCTCAGGGTGGCAGCGGGAGCACAACACAGCCTCAAATCCCATTTCTTCTTCAGAAATGTCATCCCCAAAACGGGCAGGAATTCATCCTTTTGGTCCATATCCATTTGCTGCTGCACAGGGGGAATGTTGGATCTGGTACCCCTCCACCTCCATCGCTTGAAGTGGTGGGGCCTGCCTGACCTTGGCTCTCTCCAGAGTGGTGGAATCAAACAAAAATCCCCATCAACCCTTCACTGCTGTGGTGGGAAACCTCCCACAGCCATGGGGGATTCCTTTGGTGCCCCAGAAACACCAGAATTCCCCTGGGAATCTCCACAGTCACGGGATCGTGGAATCACAGAATATCCTGAGGTGGAAGGGACCCCCGAGGATCATCAAAGTCCAACTCCTGGCCCTGCACAGACACCCCACCAATGCCCCCCTGTGCCTCCAGACTGTAACACTCAATAAAATGAGGCTCCCCAGCCCCTTCTGGTGTCGGTCACCAGCGGCATCTCCCGGCTGGAGTGGAGGCTGGCAACCTCCAGAATCCTGCTGGAGCCCCAGAATCCAACCTGGGAATTTAACCACGGGAGCCAAGCTCACGTGTGGGATCTGCTGTGGACGCAGGGCAGCTGAGGAAGTGATGCACGGGAGAAGCATCGTCCGCATCCAGTGAGTCAGGACAAGTAGGATGAAGGAGGAGAGTTTGTTTGGTAAATAAACCTATCACCATTCCTTTGGATGCCTCACTTCCCACTCAGGAAAAACGGTATAAAAGTTGGTGGATCTCGGGGTGCTTCATTCGCTCAGCTTTGCCCTGAGGTGCCCGTGGTCAGAGCCGAGAGGGGTAAGTCCAGGTCTGCCCAAGGGCGGGATTCTTCTCTTCCTTTACTGTTTCCAAAAAACAAAAGTTTGGGTAAAAAAAACATCTGGTGGGTGGTGCTGGAAGGGCAGGGAAGTTGCTGGGATGAATTTAAATCTCTTATGGATGCCTTGGTCCCACCAGACCAAACAGAAGCAGGATCAGCCCGTGCTGCAGAAGGTTGTCTTTGAGACATTGAGATGGAGATGGACTGGCTTTGGGATGAAGAGATAAAAGGGATTAAAGTCTTTAAAAGATGATCCTGGACACTAGAAAGTGGTGTTGGGCTGGACTGTGGTCACGGGCCCTGGGAAATTCTCAGGAGAATCGGTGGCTGCCCTGGAGTAAAAAGCTTTTCCTTGCAGGGTCACTGCTCCAAGATGTGCTCCAGACAAAGCGGGTGCGGCTGCGGCTGCGGCTGCTGCTGCTGCTGCCGGGGGAGTTACCAGTCCCAGGGCTCCTCCGGCGGGGGAGGAGGCGGATCCTGCTGCGGTGGAGGATCCTCCGGTGGATCAGCCCAGAAGATCATTATCAGCTCTGGTGGTGGAGGAGGAGGAGGAGGCTCCTCTGGATGCTGTGGAGGGGGATCCAGTGGCGGTTCTTCAGGAGGGAAGATGATGGGAGGTGGAGGCGGAGGAGGAGGCTCCTCCGGATGCTGCGGTGGAGGATCCGGTGGTGGCTCCTCAAAGAGCATGATGGGAGGTGGAGGTAGTGGAGGATCCTCTGGATGCTGCGGTGGAGGATCTGGCGGTGGCTCCTCAAAGAGGATGATGGGAGGTGGAGGTAGGGGAGGATCCTCTGGATGCTGTGGTGGAGGAGCTGGCGGTGGCTCCTCAAAGAGGATGATGGGAGGTGGAGGTAGGGGAGGATCCTCTGGATGCTGTGGTGGAGGAGCTGGCGGTGGCTCCTCAAAGAGCATCATGGGAGGTGGAGGTGGAGGTGGTGGAGGATCTTCTGGATGCTGCGGTGGAGGATCCAGTGGTGGATCTTCAAAGAGCATGATGGGAGGTGGAGGCGGTGGTGGATCCTCTGGGATGAAGATCATCATGGGAGGTGGAGGCGGTGGAGGATCCTCCGGATGCTGCGGTGGAGGATCCAGTGGTGGCTCCTCAAAGAGCATCATGGGAGGTGGAGGCGGTGGTGGATCCTCTGGATGCTGCGGTGGAGGATCTGGTGGTGGCTCTTCAAAGAGCATGATGGGAGGTGGAGGCGGTGGTGGATCCTCTGGGATGAAGATCATCATGGGAGGTGGAGGCGGTGGAGGATCCTCTGGGTGCTGCGGTGGAGGATCTGGCAGTGGCAGTGGGGGATCAGCCCAGAAGATCATCATCAGCTCTGGCGGTGGAGGAGGAGGAGGCTCCTCCGGATGCTGCGGAGGAGGATCTGGTGGTGGCTCTTCAGGAGGGCAGATCATCATGGGAGGGGGAGGCGGTGGCGGATCCTCTGGGTGCTGCGGTGGAGGATCCGGTGGTGGCTCCTCAGGCCAGACCATCATCATCAGCTCTGGAGGTGGCGGCGGAGGCTCCTCCCAGTCCAGCCAGCATAAATGTCCCATTGTCATCCCCAGCGTGGTGTCCCACCAGACCAAGCAGAGCTCCCACTGGCCCTGCCAGCAGAAGTAACAGCCCTGGGCAGCTCCGGTTCCCATCGGGAACAGCCGAGTCTTTGCACTCCAAGTTTGCTCCCAGCACATCCCCATCCCTTGTGTTCCCTTGGTGCTGCGTCCCTGTGCTGTGAACTCCCAGGTGGCCCTCTGTGCCATAAATGTGACGGGAAATAAAGATTTCTGTGCACGGACACAACTGGTTTGTGAGGTTGCTTTTCTCCTTTGTCAGTTTGCTTCCCAAAAATGAATAAAACATCCAAAGCATTCTGCTGGGGAATGTTCTCCAGCCTGGAGCAGGTGCTCATCAACAGATCTTTCCCATATCCAACCTAATTTTCCCATCTTTCATCCTGAATCCATTCCCTGTGTCCTGTCCCTGCAGTTCCTGAGGAAAAGTCCCTCTCCAACTTCCCTGGAGATCCTGGGAGGGGCTCTGGGTTCTCCACAGGCTGAACATTCCCAGCTCTCCCTGCCAGGATCCACAGGGGCTCCAATCCTTTTATCAACTTTTATCAACTCCATGGCCTCCTCTGGACTTGCTCCAACTACTCCATGTCCTTCTTATGTTGGGGACACCAGAACTGGACACAGCATTCCAGGTGGGATCTCACCAGAGCAGAGCAGAGGGAAAAACCCCTCCCTCACCATCCTGCCCCCTCTCCTTTGGATGCAGCCCAGAGACAGCTGGCTTTCCTCTCAAAGGGGGAAAATCCTCTCACAAAGGACTCCCAAAGTCCTCTTTGGAACAGCTGGGATTACTCTTGAGTCCAGTAAACTTTTAAAACCCAGAGGGGTTTTGTTCATTTCACAAACACGCCTGGTAAGAAGGAAACAAAATTAGGAATTAAAGGGATCATCGGCCATGAAACTCTTGAGGGATCACGACTGACAGAGTTCTGGAGAGTTCTTCTCCAGGGTCACACCCCACATTGTCAGCATCACTGTGTGTGAGGGAATCTGGTGGGAAAGGGATCAAGGGTGCTGTAGGATCTGGCCAGGGATTTGTCCTCTTCTCGTATCAACCACCCACCGAGGTGTTTGCAGTGAGGAGATGAAGAAGTACCGTGACCTGCCAGCCCTTCCCGAGGGTTCCAGGACTGCAGGGACATCAGAGCATCACAAAACTGAGAAGATGGCCCCGAAGCCTTTTACATCCCCATTTCCCTTTACCCCACACGGGTATCCAAATTTCTCCCTGACCTGGGAGAGGTTGTGGTAGGGCCAACCCTTCCAGCAGCTGCGCTTCCAGCCACGCTTTTCCTACACCTCTGGATAACAAATCCATGTGCTCCAGGCCCAGTGCTTCCAGGAGGTCCAACCCTGCGCTCTCCACACTCCATGGTTTGCAGGAGCTCCTCTCAGCACCCTTCCAGAAACCTCCACGGTGTTTGCTCATCCCTGGGTCAGGACGAGCTGCTCATCCTGGGTGTCCCTCTGTGCCAAGGAGCAGCTAATCCCGAGTGTCCCTCTGGGCAAGTCCCTACAGGTTGAAGGCACGGAAGGGATCAAGGTGTTGAGATCCTCAGGAGTACAACACCCACACATCAGAGCTGAGAGCCAGAACAGCGGTGACACCTCAGATCTGGAGATGAGAACAGAGATAAAGCCACGGGAGGGACTCCAAAGCCGAACGAAGGAAGCCCCTGCACGTGTGTCCCCAGTGCCGGTGGCCCTGTCCCCATCCCAAGGGTGTCGCGTGTGCGTGTTCAGAGTCATGTTCATGGTGACAGCTGGGACCTGCTGCTGCTGTCACACGTCCCCACAGCTAAAACCCCTATTAGTCCTTCCTCTACTCAGTGTCCCGGGAGGGCGGATGCTGCTGTCAGGCTCCAAACACGCGTGACACAGAGCTGGTGTTGGGACAGCTGTGCTGACAAATTGTCATCCTCCAGCAGGGAACGTATCCAGGTGACTCCTCTGCTCAGGTGTGGGTGGGGTGGCCAGTGAAGACCCTCAGAAATGGCTCCTGCTGAGGTAGACGGGCTGTTTAATGTCCTAGAGCTCAACGGCAAGGTCTTGATGGCCTTCATGTGCAACTTTGAAAAGCAGAAGGATTTCAAGGTTTTCCCCGCTCCAGCCTGGAGACTGAGACCCCTGGAAGCTGGAGCTGAGCACAGACCTCGATGGAAATCCAACAGCCTCTTCCACCTTGGGGTCGCAAAAGACCGAAGGGAGAAGTCCCCTTTGTCACTGTCACCCTCACAGCATCCTCTGACACAGAACTGGGCAGCTCCAAAGCAGGGAACTCCATTGGGGTGGTACCTCTGGCCTTTCCCAGCAGGATGGGCATGATCCTGCTCCCTGTCTTGCCAGTCCTGGAGAAAATTCTCCAAAATTCTCCAAAATTCTCCAAAATTCTCCAAAATTCTCCAAAATTCTCCAAAATTCTCCAAAATTCTCCAAAATTCTCCAAAATTCTCTGGGGTTCTGCTCAAGCACATCCTTTATCCCTGTCCTTCCATCACCCTCTGGCTCCAACTCACGCCAGTCCCCATCGCTTGGCATCTGCTCATCCCCCACTCTGTCCTGAGCACCCAAGAAGCTCCAGCCCAGCAGAAAGACATTGAGGAACCCCCAAAACAGACCCTGATGTGTCGTTTGCCCCAAAAATTTGGAGCGAGGCTCCCGGAAGGGAATCATTAACCAGAATTAGCGACTGCGGTACAGAACGGGGCTGATGCGCCTCCTTCGCATCACCTCTGCTGCAAGTGAGTCAAGGAAGGAGGCAGCTGAGGCCAAGCTCTGTAAATAAATCTCTCAGCATTCCTTAGGGTGTCTCACTTCCCTCGGGAGCGCAACACATCCAGTATAAAAGCTCAGCTACCCCAGGGCTCCTCACTCGACCAACACTGAGCACCGCGACGTTCCCACCAGCACTGAAGGTAAGCCCATAGATACGGAAGCTTCTGGAACCTTTACGCAGGGAGATCCCTCCACCAGTTTGTCTTTTGGGCGTTCTTTGAGCCATGGTGGCTCCACCAAAATCCAACTGGAGGTGCCAACAGAACTGCCTTCCTTAGACAGTTGCAGCTGGAACTCTGAAAGCTGAACTTTCAGCTGCTGAGTCAGTGTGAGACATCCAGAAGGATCCACACAATTTTTTAGGCATGCCAGAGCATGTGTGCGAACCTCGGGAAGTGTTCCCAACCTTCCTGCACGCAGAGGCTTCCTGCAGCTGTTGTGACCTGCAGAGAGCTCCCTGGGATGCCACGGCAGGTCTCACAGGGGGAGGGAGTTTAAAGCTGCCATCCTGCTAGGGCCACAGAAGATGGGACAAATGGGACAATTCCTGGGAGCTCTTCCTTCTTTGTCTGCTGGGAAGGCTCAGCTGCGTCTCCAAGGTTCTCCTTTCTGACAGCTCCGTTCCTTGCAGGGTCACCGCTCCAAGATGTGCTCCAGACAAAGCTCCGGAGGCTGCCATGGGATGTCCTCCCAGTCCAGCGGGTGCCACAGCTCGGGCTCCAGTTGCCACGGGAGCGGCTCCTCCAGTTACCAGTCCCAGGGCTCCTCCTGCTGCGGGGGCGGAGGGGGCTCCGGCAAAATCATCATCAGCTCTGGTGGTGGAGGAGGTGGATCCTGCTGCAGCGGGGGCTCCTCCGGATACGGGATGGGAGGGGGATACGGTGGTGGCTCCTCAGGATCAAAGAGCATCATTGGAGGGGGAAGCAGTGGAGGGTGCTCAGGTTATGGCATGGGAGGAGGATACAGTGGTGGCTCCTCAGGATCAAAGAGCATCATTGGAGGGGGAAGCAGTGGAGGTTCCTCTGGATACTGTGGTGGAGGGTCCAGCTATGGCATGGGAGGAGGATACGGTGGTGGATCTTCAGGATCAAAGAGCATCATTGGAGGGGGAAGCAGTGGAGGTTCCTCTGGATGCTGCAGTGGAGGGTCCGGCTATGGCATGGGAGGAGGATACGGTGGTGGATCTTCAGGATCAAAGAGCATCATTGGAGGTGGAAGTAGTGGAGGTTCCTCTGGATACTGTGGTGGAGGGTCCAGCTATGGCATGGGAGGAGGATACGGTGGTGGATCTTCAGGATCAAAGACCATCATTGTAGGGGGAGGTAGTGGAGGTTCCTCTGGGTACTGTGGTGGAGGATCTTCAGGTTATGGCATGGGTGGAGGATATGGTGGTGTGTCTTCAGGAAGCAAGATCATAATGGGAGATGGAGGCAGTGGAGGTTCCTCTGGATGCTGCAGTGGAGGATCCAGCTACGGGATGGGTGGAGGATATGGTGGTGGCTCTTCAGGATCAAAGAGCATCATTGTAGGGGGAGGCAGTGGAGGTTCCTCTGGGTACTGTGGTGGGGGATCTTCAGGATACGGGATGGGAGGAGGTTACGGTGGTGGCTCTTCAGGAGGGAAGACCATCATTGGAGGTGGAGGCAGTGGTGGATCCTCCGGATGCTGCAGTGGAGGATCCAGCTATGGGATGGGCGGAGGATACGGCAGCAGCTCCTCAGGCCAGACCATCATCATCAGCTCTGGAGGTGGCGGCGGAGGCTCCTCCCAGCAGAAATGTCCCATCGTCATCCCCAGTGTGGTGTCCCACCAGAGCAAGCAGAGCTGCTACTGGCCCTACAGCCAGCAGAAGTGACAGCCCTGGGCAGCTCCGGTTCTGAGCCTCTGCCACGGCACCTCTGCGTCCCAGCCCTGGCTCCACTGCCTGGTCCTTCCCAGCGCATCCTCTCCTGTCCCCTGGACGCTGCATCCTCGTGTGAGAACTCCAGGATTCCCCTGCTGTGCTCCTGGTGTTGGGGTGCCTTTGATAATGTTCTGCTGCTTTCCCAAAGGCACTTTTTATAGCAAATAAATGTCGTAATTGCTCAAAACCGCCCTTTTATTTTGGTAATTAATTAATTTCTTGCACCATCAACCTGCATTTCATAGTCTTGGGATGTAGAAATGTCTCTGATGAGGTGTTTCGCTCCAAAGCCACCTGGTTTATTGTCCCAGAGGTTCTGCACCTTCATTTTCCACCTGGGCTCTGTGAGGGAGGAACAGAAGATCCCAAAATTCAAAGGAACCACAGCACCAACACCCTTTGGTGCCTGGGCATGGTGCAGGCCGTGTCCTCTGAGGTGCCAGCACCCATTGACCACCTCTGTGGACCTGATGGGAGACGTGACCAGGCCCACGAGGCTCAGCTGGGAAAAGCAGGGATTGGGGATGACCCAACAGGTGGGCAATAAAACCATGACAACTTCCACGGCCTTGGCATCCTCCCCTTTTCTGCAGCAAACGTGAGGGAACGGCCTCAGGCTGGGCCGGGGGGAGGCTCAGGGTGGACAGCAGCAGGAATTTCCCCATGGAAAGGGTGGTCAGGCCTTGGATGGGGCTGCCCGGGGAGGTTTGGAGTGTCCATCCCTGGAGGTGCCCAAGGAAGGGCTGGAGGTGGCACTCAGGGCTCCGGGATGGCTGACAAAGCGAGGACAGGCTGAGCTCGATGGTCCGGGAGGGCTTTTCCAACCTCAGGGATCCTGGAATTCCATGATCTGTACCCAGAGGGAAGCCTCACCTTCCAACCAGCCAACCCAGCCCTGGGTCAGGCAGGAGGGGATAAAACCTGCAGCAAATCCCTCAGGCAGCTCCAAATCTTCCTCCCGGCCCCAAATTCCTCCCTTCCCAGGCTTTGCACCCTGTCCTGACAGCCCCACGCACGGATTTCTACCCGGGATTGGGGCTTTGGCCAAAGCTGGGACTCTCTGTCCCCACAGTGACACTCCCCGGAGCTGAGCAGACCCCAGAGCTGCTCTGTGGGGTCGGGCTGGAGCAGCTGGGATCTGCAACCCCCTCCAGCCTCCCTGCAGGCCCAGGTGCTCTTTCCAAACCAGAGGAAGGAGATGAAAAAGAAGGAAGGGAAGGATTTGGTGGCATAATCCTTCATTGAAGCCTGATCCAGCCCGGCTGGGTTTAAGCATCGGGACATCCCGCAAGCTCCGTGTTTAAGCTCCCTTAGAGCACCCACTTGCAAAATACCCATTTAGGGCATCAATCACTTCTAAAGACCTTCTGGTTCATATGCAAATGTGAAAAACAAACAGCTTTCCCTGGAGGCAGCAGGGAGGGCTCAGCTCGTCACCAGAGCACCGCCAGCATTTCTTCCCCTTGTGAGTTCTCCTACACCCACATCCCCACCCACCTCTCCCGGGGCTGGGGGCCCGAGGATTCCTGCGTAGCCCAGGGCAGGGGCACAGGAATCGGCTCATTAGGCAGAAGTAACAATTACAGCAGCGAAATGAGCGGTGTGAAGGGAGATATGGATCGGGAGTCAAAGCAAACACTGAAATCGCAGTTTGGTAAATAAATCCTTCTCATTCCCGAGGGTGTCTCACTTCCCATACATGTTAAACGCCATATAAATGCTCCCGAGGCTGTTAAAGCAACTCATTCAGTCGACTTTTACCTCCTAAATGTGTTTCCGATGGCTGAAGAGGGTAAGTCTGGGGTTTTTTCTGGGATTTTATCATTTCCTAGTCGCGGGTTGCAGCTGATTTGAGACCTCGGCTGGCGCTGGCAGCGGGACCTCTCGTCCTGAGACAAATCCTCGGGATCTGGGTGGGTTCTTGCTCCTTTCTGGGTCCAGTCCTGGGGAGAAAGGGGAAATCAAGGCATCAGACCGGGATGCAGAGGGATGAGCAGGGTAAAAACCCGGATGGGGTCTGCGGTGGGGACTGCACAACGTTTGTGGGTTTGAATGTGCAGGACACGTTTTTGATATTAATTAATAACAGCCCTGAGCTGGACCTCAGGATGGCCACGAACCTCTGTGTCCGAGCCAATCACTTTCTATAAAAGAATTTTGGGGCTGTAGTAACAGAGCCAGGGTGGAAACTTTGATCCTTCACTCTTGCAACAACTGAGAAACAGAAAGGAGGATGATCCCCGGTATTTTTGAAACTCTGTGTCTGTGGACACGAAAATGAGAGGGGGAATGGCAGTTATTAGAGGGCAAAAGAATCTATTTCAGAATTTATATTTCAGGTTTTGGATTCAGAATATATTTCAGCTTTGGGATTCTCTGGAAATAGAGGTAGAAAGAGGAAAGCTATCCCTGGAAGAGCACAGATATCCTTGGATTTGAAGAATAGGGGCTTGGAGCAACCTGGTCTAGCAGAAGGTGTCCCTGGCCATGGCAGGGGGTGGCACTGGATGAGCTTTAAGGTCTTTCCCAACCCAAACCACTCCACAATTCCATGATTCTCTAACAGCTCAGCAGTACTGGGTTTCAAAGCCTGGAACTGCCCCAGTCCCTGGCCAAGCTTTCCTGGCCACACCACCAGCCCTGGCGCAAACACGAAGCAAAACCCTGAAAGTTTGGGTGTTTTCCTTTCCTCTTCCAGCTTTACCACTATCTCCGGCGGAAATATTCCCGGCGGAACCGGGGCTACAGCCGGGAGATCTCCCTGAGCCACAGCGGCTTCTGCAGCGGGAGCTTCTCCAACCACCACGGCCGCGCCTCCTTCTCCGGCGGCAGGGAGGGCTCGGTCACCTACAGGCCGAGACCCCCGCCCTGCCCGTCCCGGCCAGCGCCAGCCCCCTTCAGCATCTCGGGGAGCTTCTCATGTGACACCAACGGGTCCCTCGTGGTGGCCAGCGGGGACTGTGGGGTCACATCTGGCTGGGACATCTCGGTGGGCACGGTCCCGGTCTATGGCTCCGGAGTGGGAGCGGGGTACAGCGGTGAGGGCGCGGCTCCTGCCCTGGGCAGCGCATCCATCTACCACGGAGGGGATTTGGGAATGGCTGAGGGAGGAGGGGCTGGGTATGGATACACCGCACCCCCGAGGGACACCCTGAGCATGGGGGGCGTCGCTGAGGGGTCGGGGTACTATGGGGGATACAGAACCGGGACGTTCCCAGTCCCAGAGCTCAGCCCTGCGGGCGGGGGATGCGCCCAGGTGGTGCAGCAGAAGTGCCCCGTGGTTGTCCCCACCGTCAAGACCCAGCAGTGCAAGCAGAGCACCCACTGGCCCCCCATCCAGAAGAAGTGACTGGCCCAGCCTTTCCCACATCCCAAAAGTGCCCCTGGATGTGCCACAATGGAATTTCCCCCTGACCACGCCACTAAATCGCATTCCTCACGTGGGGCTGTGCTGACAACAGTCCCCCAGAACTGCTGGAAAAAGGGGTTTGTGCTGTGGTGATGGGAAAAGATTCTTTTCTCCATCTCCTTTGGATCACGGGCTGGAAAATAAAACCTCACAGTGTGTGGGTAGTTTCAATATTGGGACAGTTTCTTTCATTTCTGGCTCCTTCACTCAAAATGTGAATTTTTGTCCTCAAGGAATCCCCACAACACAAAGGACCTTCTTCATGTGTGTTTTACACCCAATTTGAATGTAACATTTATATGAATACAATTAAAAATACATCATTTTCAACGGAGGGAGAAGGTGGAGTCTGGGAGATCTCCAGAGGTCTCCTCCAACCACAACCATTCCAGAATTCTGGGAATCTTAACCTGGCTCTCGCTGGAGATGCTGTTCCCACCCCAAGGAGCCCGGACCCTACGAGATCCCCCTTATTAACGAGATCCACCAATCTCCCGGGGGATTTCCGACTGATTATTATTTACAGCGTGACCTCGGGAGTGAAAGGTTGTTTACTCGGCAGCAATTCCCGCCTCCTGTCCCAGAGATTGCCAGGATGGCGAAACCCCGAGCACGTAGAATGAGGCAACTCCAACGAGCTCCTTGGCTCCCGCCCCAGAACCTGTTCGTGGCATTTTTTGATAGGATCAGGCCCTAAATTAGGCACAGGGAGAGGACGGTGCCGGTGCTGGTTGGGATGTGGGGTTTGCCCAACATTTAATCTTCCAGGACTCTTCTCTGGGGTTGTTTGACTCATCCAAATTGTTGTTAGGAAGGGGGAAAAAAAAAACACAACAAAACACCCGTGGATCTGGGTCCATTTAAAAGTGAGACAAAAAAAGCAGAATGTTTGTTTTTTGCCATTCTGTTTTCACCCACCGGGGGGGGTTTTGACCCCCAAATCCAGAAAACTTTGCCTTGAAACACCAAAGACCCAAATCCTCTGAGGTCTAAACCTGTGTTTGATGCCACAGGATCCTTCACTCATAAAGTGTTGCAAGATCATCATGTGGGGACAATTACACAAGATTTTGTCACCAGCCCTATTAAATTTCATTCTAAAATTAGGCAATGTTATCATTTATTTGCTTTTATTTGTGTTTCTAAAATCTACCACTGCATTATTGATATTTCCATGGGGTTCCTTCCTTCATGAAGGGAGAAAAAAAAATTCTGAGAGCTCAAACAAATTCCCAGAGAATTCCAGAAAACCAAGCCCAGAGCCTTCAAGTATTTGTGTTTATCTGAGAGCTCAAACAAATTCCCAGAGAATTCCAGAAAACCAAGCCCAGAGCCTTCAAGTATTTGCGTTTATCCAACTGACCAAAAACCACCTCAAAATTTCAGTCCCTCCCAAAACAAAGAAAACTGGAAACACTTCAAAATCCCATTTCTTCTTCCCTGGTTCTCAAGACTCCTTTCAAAGGGCACTCCCCAAGCTGGGGTGGTTCAATATTTAATAGACCCAGGGCGAACAGGTTTGCATCCAGAGGTTGGATGAGGAGCCGGAGCTGATCCGCCCTCCCCAGAGCTCAGCTCCTTCCCGAGGCTGGGAGGCGTCCAAGGCTGGGTTTTATCCTTGGCACAGCGAGGTTTCCTCCCCTTTCCTTGTGCAACAGGGCAGGGACGAGTCATCCTCTGAGGAACTCACTCCAAAGATAACACATCCCAAATCCCGACTCTGATAAGCCAAGACTCATCCCCAGCTCTGATAAGCCAGGACTCATCCCGAGCCTGTCGGTGCTTGTTAAACCAAGGCCCCCCCTCCTGCAGCTGTTGGTGAGCTGGGCTGAGCAGTAAACACGGGTCTGGCTTCTGGATGAAAGTCTCCAGCTGGCGCCTCTGGATAGAAACTCCAGGAGTTGTCTCAGTGATAGCAAACGGGAGCCACCCCTCGGCTTCAGGGGATCTCTGCCCACGAAAACCTCCGTGGCTCCGTGAGTGGAGGTGGAAAATGAGTGAAAACACATCAGGAGTCCTGCTGGAATTCCACGGTCAGGCCGGAAACGGGAGGGAAAACGGGAAACCGGGGCTGTTGCGAAGCCGTGGTTGCATCCATGGTTGCGCCATCCCGGGGCTCTGCACCCAGGTGCCCCCATCCCGCCCCAGGGAAGAGCCAGCGGAGCTCGGGATGCGTGGGGAGCTCGTGGTCTCTGACCCAGCATTTTACTCACAGCTTACTCACGGGTGCAAGGTTTGCGCAAGCGCCTTCCGTAGACACCGATTTCCCATCACCGCTCCAGACCCCGGCAAATAAAACAGAGTAAAATATGAATAAAATGGGAATTTTCAAAGAGAAATTCCGTGTGGGGCATCTTGGGGCTGGCCAGGAAAAATGCCAGCGATGAAAATTGGTGGTGACTGAGTCAGTGATGGTGGAATGGCCGTAAAATTAGGTGGGAAGCAGACGGACGCAGGTAGGGAATCACAGAGCCGTGGAACCACAACATCTCAAAATCCCGGATCTCACAATCACAGAATCCCCGAGCAGCAGGGGAGCAGGGTCACCTGGAGCAGGTGACACAGGGACAGGAGGGTTCGGAGTGACACCAGAGGGGAACACTCCAGGCCCTCCCTGAGCAGCTGCTCCAGGGCTTTGCCCCCCTCCACGGCAAGAGGTTCTCCCTCACGTTGAGGAAACCTCGTAACATTTTTGGGGGATTCACAGGTAGAAGCCAACACTTCCAAGAGTGGCCTGTGCCACCAGCTGGGTTTGCCAGGTCACTTCCCAGCCAGAGCCTCCCACAGTGGCCACAGACTTCGTCATCCTGGTTTTGTTCCTTTGGGAAATGACCCTGTCAGAGAGGGGACCCTCAGCTCGGTTCCTGCAGGTGTCTCACGGGGTGAAAATTACTTCAGAGATGTTTTCCAAGGACATCCAACCAAGACTTTCTAAGAATTTGCCGTTTTCTATGGTGAGCACCTGAGAACGGTGGTTTTTCTCCACAAGAGCCCGGCCCTACCAAGACCAGTCAGGGAGGGCTGGGCACCGGGACCTCTGCTTCCTGCCAGACTCCAGGTGAGAGGTTTTGGGAGGACAGGAACCCCAAAACTCACCACCTTTGCCATCCATTTTGCAACCTAAAACTCATCGCGCCGTGAGGGTGAGACAGCCGAGCCGCCCACACGGTTTTCACTCAGAGCCCGCCAGGGGCAGGGTGCAATTAAAGCTGTGTAAGACGAGGAAGACAATCCAGAGCCTGACAAGTCAATCAAAGAAACCGGGTGGAAGGAGCTTTTGAAGGTGGTGGGTAATTAGGGGTGTGGCTGTTTTGTAAATACCTTGGTCATTTTTCCCCAGGGGGTTATTGCATTTTCAGGAAGGGACTTGGGAACTGTATAAAAGTCCTTGGAGGGGAGAGCAGCTCATTCACTCAGCTCCGCTCCTCCTCCCGAGCCTTCACAGCCAAGGTGAGTCCCTGCTCCACTGCTAACCTTTAATTCCAACGAAAATTCCCTGCACTGAGCTGAGCTTTGCTCTGGGGGCATTTCCTGGGGTTATTGAGAGCCAAATCCTTGGCTCTGTGGCTGGGGCTACTTTGTGCTCCAGAAAATTATGTCCGCCTGCTCTGAGAAGTAAAATTTATTACCCGTAGTTATATTTTGATGACCCCGGTGCTTTCCAGTACCCAAAGGACAAACTGGAAATGACTGGAAGCAAAGGATGGGATTTGGGGATGAATGGGAGACAGCAGGCTGATCTTCCATAAGAACCCCTGGGGTTAAGCTGGGAATTTTAATTGCATTTATAAGCCTGACTCCTTTACTAAGCTCCTTTGGAAAACATTCAGGAGCTGAAAGTATTAAAACGCCCTTGAAGAAATTTAGGAAAGAGCGGAGAAGGTGGATTTAAACTGTGAGAGGAAGGAGCAGCAGGATCCTCTTCCAGCTCAGCATCCCGGATGCCTTTTGCCTCCCTGAAATCCCAGCAATCCTTGGAAGGGGGTTGGGATGCGCACAGAGGATTTTCCTCATGCTCAGGAAACGGGGCCTGGAGGGAGCAGAGGACACGAGGAGGAGGGAAGGCTCAGGAATTTGTCTTTATTTTGGGCACCTGCCTTTGGAAGTGGATTTTTCCAGGGCTCTGGCACCAGTCCTGGCTGTGCCAGGGCCCCTCAAGGCTACGAGATTTTGGGATTCTTGCCAAGATGCCTCTTACTGGCGCAGGATATCCCAGCATCACACAGAGCTCCCCCGGGAGCATCCCGGGATGCAGCCAAGGAAGAACAGGGAAATGTCTCAAGGAAGAACAGAGAAATGGCTCAAAAAATGGCAGGGAAATGGCTCAAGGAAGAACAGGGAAATGGCTCAAAAATAGCCAGGAAATGGCTCAAGGAAGAACAGGGAAACAGCTCATGGAGCTCAGCAGAAACAGAGGCCGGGGCTGCTGTGGGGACTCATGAGGGTGTCCAGATGGTCCAGGCTGATCCAGGACTGTGGGAATGGAGCCCCAAACTGGGGAAACTGGTCGGGCAGAAAGGCAAATCCTGCTGGGCCCCACCAGGGATCCCGACCCCACAGCAGAGCAAGAGATGGCAGCGGTGCCCTCCCCGCATCTAACGCCAGACTTCTCTCCCCTCCAGGTTTCCAGCCTTCCCTCCGACCAGCCCAAAAATGTGCTCCCGTGAGAACAGAGGCTGCCACAGCTCCGAGAGCTCCTCCTGCCACGGCGGCAGCTCCTCCTGCCACGACAGCGACCGCTCCTGCCACGGCTCCGAGGGGGTGGTGTGCCACGAGGTGACCCCGGTGCCGGACGTGACCCCCGTGGTGGTGCTGACCCCGCAGTGCCCGGTGGCCACCGGGACGGGGCAGGTGCCCCTGGCCCAGGTTCCGTGCCAGCAGCAGCAGCAGCAGATCAAGCAGCCGGTGCAGTGGCCGCCGCAGCAGCAGCAGAAGTGAAG